CTCTCTCTCTCTCTCTCTCTCTCTCTCTCTCTCTCTCTCCCTCTCTTGATTTCCAGCGAGACGTCAAAAATAAGATTCCGAACAACCGCCGCGACTTGCAAAGTCCGCGTTTAAATATGCGACTTCCTATTTACGAAACGGATCTCACGAATTAAAAACTCGGCTCTGAAGTTCTGTGCGCGCTGCAACGCCGGTCATTCGGACTTGATCGTATCTTTGAGTAATTAGCGACAATCGGCGCGACCGACCTTTAGCCACCCTCGGCGCCCTTGGAAACCCGCGGCTTCCGGCGCTCTTTCCCTCCAACCCCTTGTTCGCGACATCCAACGATGTTTCCGAAGCCCGAAAGTCGAGCGAGAGAGGAAGGGTGGGAATCGCGTGTTAAGGCGAGTTTAATCAATGTGCTTTTGACGTCCAGCATCGTCCCGATAAAGGGATCGGCTGGTCGGGCTGAAAATATCCCGGCCAACCCAACCGTCGGACCTTCCGGAGGGTCGGCCGTGTCCCGTATACGTCGTGTACATCCAGCAGTCGGAGGACCCTCACAATTATATTTAACTGTTTAATAAGTAATTTCCCAGATTAAATAAATTTCCCAGATTAAATAAATTTCCCATATTAAAACGAAACGAAACTGTATTATGGCTCTTTAAGTATTAAATCAAGAGGAATTAATTTTTAGCCACAAAATAAGTCACACAAAAATATTGGCAGTGAGTAATAATCTTTTGCGAAAGAATAATAATGCTGGCAATACACGTAACAAGCCACTTTCTCAGTCTTGAACGTATTTAAGTGAAACGATCGTATTTTTATGTCCTTTTAACTTTATGAAGCGATGTATTTTCAAAAGATAAATAATTTATCTAATCCAGAAATTAAATAAATTAAGATAATGAGGGGTAATATACGGTGAGAATTTTATAGTAAAAAATAATATGAAAAAATTTATATAAAAAAAATAGTATAATATTCTTCTCGTGTAGAAAAGATCAGAACGGCGCATATATTGTTTCATAAAATTATAACGACATAAGATAAATAATTTATCTAATCCAGAAATTAAATAAATTAAGATAATAAGGGGTAATATACGGTGAGAATTTTATAGTAAAAAATAATATGAAAACAATTTATATAAAAAAAAATAGTATAATATTCTTCTCGTGTAGAAAAGATCAGAACGGCGCATACATGGTTTCATAAAATTATAACGACATAATAGTGCAATCGTGTAACTTTATCCGTGTAAAAATCCGAAATCACTTATTACACAATCTCAATATATCCCGTGATCTATTGGATTTCCCGAGCCTACCCTCCCGACAGGAGGGTCACAGGCGTGGGTGGGCGCGCTTCGAGCCTCCTCAAGATGGAATTTAATTTCACTTTCACAAACACGCGATCGCACTGTGTTGTTGCATCGAGAACGGCGCGTTATTAAGCGTACGAGCGAACGCACGAAGAATTCACGGTGCAAGGATATGCAATAAAGTTCCGTTTGGTCAGCAAGAGAGGATAATGCTGCGTGGATTGCAGCGAAAAATCCCTTCCCTTTTTTCGGCTCCTGACTGCTGCGAGACGCACCTGTTACTCCGCTAAGCGGGGTATCGTCTCGTCTTGATCGCGTTATCTTTTAACCGAGCAAATTTACACGAGGGTAAGGATTAAGGAACGATTGCTGCCGGGCTGTGTGCCCGTGAGAGGAGTACGTGACAGGTACGCGGTATCGTGTCGTGTAATTCGTCACGCGTATCAAAAGGAGGATGGCATGAAAGGGCGAGGGGGAGAGAAAGAGAGAGAGAGAGAGAGATGGTTAGATAGAAGAGACGACGATCGAGATGATCGAGTCGCTTCGATTGTCATTCAAATCGTCTCGAATTATTCACCGGCGCCACTCGAACCTGTTCCCCCTCGTTCTGCATGCACACGACGGCACTGAAGTGGTGGTGTGCGCCGGTTGCATGAATGCATTATTGTTGCAGTGATGCTATGGCGTGGCATGGCGTGGTGCGGCGCGCATCGCGTATTTCTCGTCGCTAATAAATTTATCGCGAATATTAATCTCCCGCGTTTCACGGATCGGTTCGCTTTCAACCCGCTAGAGAGTCAAAGCGAGATATTTATTTCGTCGTACGTGGCCTCCCCAAAGCGACACGTCGCCCGTCAGTCAGAATTTTTATGGATTTTTCGTGCCACGTTATCGCTGAGTTAATACAAATTTCAATTTTCTGTCGTATCAAAATACAATGCCATTGTCTACTTTCTCCTTCCTTTCCGTGCGAAATTTTGAATTTTACGAAATAGGCAGTAATGATAATTAAAATGTTCAAAATATGATTTAAAAGAATCATATGTTTCTAATCCGTTTGATCATAAAAAAAAGTATCCTCTTATGTATGGCCTCAATAAGATTCTTCTCTATAACCAAAAGGAAAATATTTTAATAATCAGAGAAAGAAAATTCTAATTGCAAGGTGCTATTTCCTGCGCAATCCCATATTCTAAAGGAAAACTTTTATCAAAAGAATATCCCTCTTTCGATGAAAAGAAATAATATTATGTTTAGAATATTCTTCTTTTAGTTTCAGAAGAATCCCCTCGAGACCATACATGAGAAAATTCCGCGATGAGATTATATTTGATATTTGATTTTTGACATTGATCTAAAGAAGAAAAAACTCAGTGATTCTCAGAATGTATTTTTTCAAATCTCTTAATGATGTAAATGAGTTAATGGGAAGAAGCGCCAAGAGTCAAATACGTTAAATAAGCGCGGCTCATATCTCATTCCAGGATTCCAAGAGCGTGTAATCGAATAAAGTACCGTGGTAATGTCAGAGGCGCAACGTGCGACGAGAGCACCCACGAATTAAATATATCGAGTCAATTTATATTCTCGCGCAACCCTGGCCGCTTCTTTTCGTTGGCGACGCGCGAGAGCAGCGACGCGGCGGAATCGAGTTCTTAGCGGGCGCTCTTGTATTCTAATTGCGCGAATAATTGCTGGAACTCATTAATATTCTGGACTGCCGGGCTCTCGGCGGCTCGGTTGTCGGCTTTCGATTAATCCGAGTTATGATCGGGCGCGACGTGCAATTTGTTTGAAGCCGCGCAGATTGAATGCCGATTGATATCCGAAGTAAAAGGGCGAAAAAGCGGGCGCGGGCTGCACTCCGAATGATTATTATCGAATTATCGCGAGCTCACGATTAATACGGCTCCGACACGGCGCTCGCACACACCGGACTTAAATTTACGACCGGAGGGAACAATTTGTATTTCGATTTATCACATTTGTCTCATGTACTTAACGCCTCGGAGTTATATTTTTGCAAATTAGCAGGCTGATTTCCAGAAGAGGGATTGTGTTTTCTATCGTGTGGAAATCTGATGTCCTAACTTGTCGAAATAAATTTCATTCTGGGAAGGTCAGCGCACGCGCGTGACGATATTATCTCAAATAAATTTCCAATTTATATATTAAAAATATTATAGAATATTTCTAAATTTCTAATAAAAATATACGAAAAAATATCTGTTAGGAATTTCTGCGTTCGATGAAGAATTCGTGCTCGTCTAACACCCGATTTTTTAACGATAGTTTAAACTTAGATTTAAGTTTAAACTCTGGCCTCTCAACAGTGTGTTTGATACGTTTTGTGTAAACAGAATTTAAACTTAAATCTAAATTTAAACTATTATTGAAAAGTAATAAACGTATAAATCGCGTAAAACTCAAATCACTAAAATTTCAGGTGGACCTGGACGACGCCTTGGACAATTTCTTCAATATCCTCTATCAGAAGATGTTTACCGTGCTCAACAGCCAGTACACATTCGATAACAAATATCTGGAGTGCGTGAGCGATCATATGAAGGAGATGCGACCGTTCGGCGACGTGCCGCCGAAATTAAGCGTGCAGATTAAACGCTCCTTCGTGGCCACGAGGGCTTTCAGCCAGGCCTTGACTGTTGCCGCGAACGTATTAAAAAATATGCAAACGGTGAGAATCTGCAACACGTTCGAGTGATTTAGTAACGCTTAATACAGGGCGTCTAATTAATTTTCAAAACTTAGCAAAAATTAAGACGAATTTGACTCACTCTTTGTCTAATCACTCTTAATATCATTTTGATATTTATCTGATCATTTCAATAATTAAAATAATTCATAATGTCTATAAATTTAGAAAAACTCACAGTAATTTCTAATAAATTATAAATTGTCATTTAATTTCAATTTCGATATTCACAGCTAGTTGTAGGTAAATTATTATTTACGTTAGAAGATAATTATGCATATGCCTAGGTCTTGTTTATGTACGTTATTGGCATCGAGCTTTGCTCGATCGATTGCACTTTTGTTTTGTTCACCACAACCTCAACCGTTTCCTCAAATTCCTCGGAACGTTTCCTCAAGACTCTCACGCGATTATCTTGCCGTAACTCGCGCAAGGATTCTAGAACGCAGTCTTTGTTGTAGCTGAAACCGTCTACGGACTGTGCAGCTGCCCTAACCAAGATGACAGCTTGTCCGTACTGCATCGGCATACCGAATAACGTGGTGGCGTGCAACGACATGTGCACCAATGTGATGAAGGGTTGCTTGGCGCAGCACGCAGCACTCGACGCTGAGTGGAATCACTTCGTCGGTGAGCAATTTGTATTCCTGCCCCGTCCCACCCCCGCTAACTATCAGCTATTATATCGTGTAAGGACATCAGACCATCGACGTGAACGCGCACGCGTGTGCGCGTACGTTCGCACAATTTGTCGTATGTGTCGAACGTTTGTGTACCCTCTTGAGAGTTTTCCGCGACGGCAGAGTGACTCATTGCGCCTCGCATCGTGTTGTCACAAATGCCAAACGACGAGCTTCTTCTCGTCGAGCGACACAGGACTATGACAAGATACGTCGACTTCTGAAACGTGATGAAAGCCTGATCTACAATGTGCTCTTTGCTTCCTGTTTCTTTCTTTTTATCTTTCTTTTTTATTTAAATCTTAAGCATTAAGCTAGAAAAGAAGGAAAGAGAAACAGAAAGAAAAGAGCATATTGTAGATTAAGCTGTAGTATATACTTAAAATAGGGCAAAATATATAGTAACTGGCATTCTCGCATGCATTTCATCAACTATTAAGGTACATGGGAATTTATCAATTATTTATTAATCTTTTTTTTAAACCTCCATGCACTTTAATATTTGATCAAATTTACGCAAAAGTGCCGCAAGTTGGCAAAGTACCTGCTACCACACGTCTTATCCTTTTCTACGCTTTCGCTCCTTCCTTTGATCCTTCTTAGTTACTAACTCAAATCCAGGACATTCCATCTTTCTTCGCTTCGCTACTCGGTAGCAAAGTAATAATCCTAGTTCTTTAGTAGTTAATCTTAGTGGTAATCTTCTCCTAGCAGTAATCGTCAGTAATCCTCCAACTCTCTGGTCGACTAATCTCTCGCTGTTTCCTGAGCATAGATGCCGTGGACAAGATCGCCGACCGGCTGATCGGACCATTTAACATTGAGGTGCTGGTGCGCCCCATCAACCTGAAGATCTCCGAGGCGATCATGAATTTCCAGGAGAACAGCCAAGACGTATCGCAACGTGTATTCACTGGCTGTGGCCGGCCGGTTTTGGGCAAACGTAAGCGTAGGGATAATCGCGAATTGCAGCTGGAGTCATTGAACTTTGACCAAGAAACGTTGACGGACGATCGCGCCCAGGCCGTCGCGCTTATGGACAAGCTGGTGAAAGAAATCCGCCAACGAGTGCGCGACTCCAAGCAATTCTGGGTGTATCTGCCGTATCGATTGTGCAACAACGGTATGGGTATGGGCCAGTCTAACACGAAGGAGTGCTGGAACGGCACGCACATAGACAAGTGAGTGGAATGTTCTTCCGTTCCAGTCAAGTCATGGAGAATAAAATGCATACGAGGCTAACACGCTCGCTCATTCACTCGCGCACGCAACTTGTACGCTCGTCACTGTTTCAGGTATAGATACCCGGTGGCCTCGGACGGCGAGTCTCAGAAGAACAACGCGGAGGTGCGCAGCGTAGGACCACGGTCGACCATCGTCAGGGACCAACTCTACGCGCTCACCACCATCACGAACAGATTGAAGTCCGCGTTCAACGGACAAGATGTTGACTGGATCGATACGGGTGAGCATTCGCCGATTTTTCAATGTTAACGGCTTGACAAGGAGAATTGAATCGACTGAAGCATAGTTCTTGAGGTTTGAAATGTCGATTCACTTCTTTAAAGACTAAACCGTAGTACTTTAGTATATCCTGTTTGATAGTCCTTAATAAAGGACTATTGTCAGGACATTGTTCAATAAAAGATCTTTAATGAAGGACAATGTTTTTTTAAGTTTGAGTAAAATATTATAACTGCATATCTGGTTCGCAATGTGTTAACTATATGTTAATTGCACATATCTTTTATACGTTGCACATATCTTTTGCACTTATGCATTTTAACCAACTTGAACTAAAGACCAAGTTAAAACTTGTTAACCAGTTTTCCAAATGTTTTTTAAAGCATTTTCGAATATCACCTGGTCCCAAGAAAAGTTTCTAAAGCATTCCCAACGATAATGCCTGTCAAAGTGGAAATACTTTTCCCAAAGAAAGAGTAGCGTGCCTCTAAAGTGTTGATAATAACACACAAGCATCTTTTTATCTAAATCATTAATAATAATGACTCACCATTTCTGATCTCGCAGAGGAAACATTCTACGGCTCTGGCAGCGGCTCAGGCGACGGTGCCTTCACCGACGATGAAGATGGCTTCAATGAGAGTTCCGGCTACGGTCCTGCGGAACCAGAACCGCCGAAGCAACCGCCCCCGGTGGTGCACGAGGTCGAGACGCCGCCGCGGATGAACATCGAACCGAAGACTGTCGGCGCAAGCAACGCCAACAACCAAACTACCGTGGACGGCGCCAATGGCGCCAGCAGGCAGAAGATGTCTCTTAACAGGGCGCTGACGACGTACCTGCTGCCGATAGTGATGATGTGGTTCGGCGGTTGTCTCACTGAATGGCTGTGATCGGGTGGATCTCGGGACGAGCGTAGCACAGTGTAAATATTGCCCGGTTCGCGAGCCGATTGATGGAAAATGGACTTTTGAAGAAGACTTTTTGAATGGACTTTTTGGATGAAAAGGTCGCGCGTGGATCGCTACGAAACGTACGGATCAGCTTGTGCCGGTTCATTGTCGATCCGTTGCAGATCCGTGAGGAGGACGCGGATCAACGCGAGAGGAAGGAACGCTTGATGAGGATGGACGCTTCTGCGTTCTTTCCTTACTTATCGACTTGTCGACTTGAAGCGAGAGTACTCATGGCCATAGCGTGGTCGCTAACGCCGTGCGGCGGCGAGGCCGAAGGTGAGGCGAGGCGAATCACGCGCGATTAATGGATTATTGTTGGGACAAGAGAGACGACGCCTCCTCTCTCAGGCGAGGGAAACAATGCGAGCGCGAGTGACCCAGCGGAAGCTTTGTCTCGCCGGGTAGAAGAGAGACGGCGCATTCTTCGACTGTGTTGTCCCCGCCATTCGGTTTTATTATCGCCGCCGAGCTGGCTGGAATTAACAGTACCTCCGAGCGATGTTTCTTCCCCTCCCAGTTCGTCGGGCATGCCTCCGCTGTGATCTGGTCACCCGCGCTCTCTTTCTCTTTCCTTTGCCACGTGATGGTGCGAAAATGCCTTTCGAAGTGTAGACGTGTACTTTTTCGAACTTGCGAAACGATCGTGTCGGAAACGGAAACGGGGCTCCGAGATGCATGCAAACGATCCTGTTTTCCCGAGAAGAAGCACTCTCGGGATGAAATTGTTGCGCCATTTAACTCTAGGAAGGTAGCGTGAGTAACTTTCACTCATATTGAAAGCTTCAAAGTTAAAAAGGCAGTGATAATTTATGATCATCTTCGTGTGTAATTAAAGTAGGAGTGAGTAATCTCTACTCATTCAAGAAATATCTCAGAGCAGTGGCATCCATTTCAGTGAACTGTAAGATAAATATTAGAAGAAAAGCTTAAGGTTTTTAATATGCGTGAAAGTTATTCGCGTTGTTCATCTAAGGTTAACATTTCCGAATTTTAGAAGGGTACACTGCGTTAAACGTTATCAGACTTACTGCCAACTAAAAAAAAAGAAAAGGACAGAAAAAAAATTGTAAATTATATCACGGCGGTGGGGTAACCACATTCCAGTTGGATCATGTCTTTCCTTCTAATTTTAGATTTACTCTATGGTCTTTTGTCGAAAACTAGTAGGTATTCCCGATTGAACATTCAGATTTTTACGTAAGCGAGTTGTCGTGAAAGATGGAAAACTCATTCCGATTGGAACGAGCTGTCCTTCCGGGTTTTCCAACACGCGGCATATCGGAATTCTCTACTGCCACAACGGGAAATTCAGACTTATTATTAAAATATTTCACGCTGTACTGTAATGCTGTTCTCGTTCATCTCTCTTTTGGTCACGAGAGATGTGCGATTAGGGGCCGAGCCGTGCGGCTATAAAGAAGAAGACGATCGTCGATCGGACGACGCGACTGCATATCTTGATCTCGCGTGCGTCACGGTGTCTAGCGCACCGGGTGAACGTAAATAATCGCGACAGGCGATGTAGCAATCCGCGCGCCAACAATCCCGACGAGAGGTATATGTAGTTTCGACATACCCGATATACGTAAGAGGAGCCGAGCGGAGTATACGACAAGCGGAGAAGCGGGACTGAATATTTATTAAGTGTTCGTCGTGTGATCGACCGGGAACTCGAATGCGCGAGTCCTGGAAAGCGGCGGGAGGCATGAACAATCAGAATCCTCGTTCTATGGATGGATTTCCGGAGAAGCCGCGCGTTGTACTAATTACTGGCTTGCTTAAATGAATAATTTCGTATTTTTTATTCGACAGTCTGTTGGCAGATCCACATAACTCACTGCGCAATCCAAAATAATAATTCTCACCTACCAGAAGATCAGCATATTTCAATCATATTATAAGATACCAATATCTTAATTAAGTTGTACCATAGTATTTTTTACAACGTTAAACGCGACTGTCTCCTGTTTATATTTCATGTCGGCATTGGCTGCCTAGATTTCGAACGAATAAAAATCAGATTGATCTTCGCTTTTCACTCACACACATACACACAGACAGACATATTTGGCGGATTCTCGCTTCTATCCATGTTCGATTGTGCGATTTAAATTTCAGATGAGTTCAATCGGCCAGTCATGTCTTTGGCGCTGAGTGCGATCGTAGCAGCTTCTCGTTTCGCATTTAGCGTCGCGCACGATCGAAAGCTGATGCTTATTAAGAACGCGAGTCACGAGATATGGAATCGCGGCGATTCCGTGAATCCATGAACGAGGATTCAACTCTTGGCTCACGTTATATGCGAGATTATTGATAGAAGAAAAGAGAAAGGAAATGTACGACGCTCGATCTCGTTCGATGGCGAGTGCGATTCCTTTGCTGCGGGACAACGCGATACAATCAAACGAAAGTAACAATTAATGGATAATGAGGACTCAAGGAAAAGGAGAAAGAGGAAGAGAGAAAGAGATTTTCAAAGGGAGTGCATTCCAAGCCATCGCGAGACCGAGCCGTGAGACACACTGTAATGTTAATTTGCGTTATAATTAATAGCGACAAGCGGAAGACGCGCGCGCGAAGGGTATTCGTTACGACTTAAGGTGTACATAAGGACAGTGGCGTGCGATAAGGATGTGCGGTGACGTTTGGCGCTTCGGCGTGCAAAACAAATGTACATGCAGATATAGGGACATAAAGACGAGCGAGCAGTTTGTAGAACGGTTTTCGTGGGAAGTGTAAAACCGATAAAAGGAACAGAGTTTTCTTTCCTCGACGCCACATTTTATTGGACAATCGATTCCGCTTTTGTCGAGCATTGTGTACGGGTCGTCGGACGAGATAATCGACGCGAGTCAGTAATGAAAGAGCAACGGTTGTCTGTAATTATGACCATATATGACGTAAAACAGTACCTTCATTCGGCTAATTACCCTTTCAAATAATCGCCGAGTTGCGCGCTTGACTACTGAATTATTCTTTAATTTGAGCTGCGAGCCTGACTACTGAATTATTCTTTAAATAAGCACACATGCATATACATACAGGAAGTATCTTTCAATTACTACAGAAACAATATTATGATGTCGTTGTAACGTTTCTTTTGTGTCGGCTATTTTCGCCCCTTTGTCTCGCAGGAAAGCGATTTGCACTATTGTGCCGTCCGACGGCTCGCGGTATCCGCCACTCTGCCGTATTGTTCGCGTAGCATTTATTAACTCGGAGGGAACAGTGTCAAAGTGATGTGAGGGAACGGCGGTCGGAGGTGGGCTCCTGTGATAAAATCAAATAAATCGAGCATTATATGACCGCGCTCTCCACGCACCCGCGCTTTTCTTCAGCTCACCGTCAAAGGGTGAAAATAGGCGCGCGCGGGCGCAGACGGACATTTAAAAAAATCTAGTGAAATATTAAAATATATTATATATATAACTATTATAATATATATTATATATACATAACTATTATATAACTATTATAATGTTATATATATGTATAGTTAATATATATAATATAATATTATAATATTATATATATAACTATTATTATATAATATTATATATATATAACTAATTATTTGTAATTATATTATTATTTTATTATTATTAATATTATTATATATATAAAATGAAATTAATATAAAATTATAACATTTTGCGGCTGAAGGATGTTTTGAGCATGCGTGTTTAAAAAAAGCGACCCGTTGCGAGAGAGGACGCGAGACTCTCCTCTCTCTCTCTCTCTCTCTCTCGTTCTCTCGAGATTTGTTGATCCCCTGACGACACATACACATGTGAACACATACATGCATACATACGTACACACGACATCGATCGTATAGTATAGTAATCACGATATTTTTATTCCTTGCCAAATCTATCTCGCGGAGAACGTTGCGCACACTTTTATACATATATGTATATGTATGTATGTACGTACCGTATATATAATGTATTATTCTTTTTCTCCTTTTCTTTTTCCGACCCCTTCCGGGATGCGCGCGCCACGGAGCGCAATACGAGGGTATATCGAGATAGGGAACAGGGTGTTTTTCGAGAGAAAGCTTTATCGACAGTTGACGGATTTTTGTAAAAGTAAGGCCGCTCGGTGCGGGACGCGAGTTTTTCCCGTTGCAAACGTACTCGCGGAGTCCTTTATTTGCGAGAAAAAAAATAGATAAATTTAGAGGAAGCGGGAGTCCCAGTACGACAAAGGAGAACACAAATAGATTTATACGTATATGGACGAGTTGCGGTATGACGTGTGCGAGTGTACCACGAGTGTAATGAGAAGTCGTGCTCACATCTACCGATTTTTTCGTTTCCTTTTAAGGAGACACTCGCGCGATCGAGGATACAGAGGAACGCGTCGTGGCTATTCGCATGTATATTCCGGCTGATTTCCCGCATTGCCGCGTTCTACTTTTCTCAACTTCTGTTTGACGAGTTCGACACTTGCCAACGTATTCATACATACTTTACGACACAATCTACTTTGGTTTTCTCAATTGTCAACTGCTTGACAATGTAATATGTCGATGCACATCTCGATTGTGTTAATTGAGGACTGCGTACGCTATGAATACGGGTGTTTAAGACTAATCGTGATATATTATTCCTCCGCATTTACGAAAAGTTCGTTTATATAGGAAAAAGAGAACGTTTCTCATAGGATAATAAAAACATATACCTAATACCTAATACCGGACTTTACCATTAACATCAAATTGTATGCTGTACCTTGCGGAAGAAGAAATTTTCGGGGGAGGATAGATCATTATCGACTCCCCACGTACAACGAGGGAAGAATATCTCGAGAACTATGATTTACAGAAATCATCATATATTTGCTTCTGACTCACATCTTAATAGTATTGTACATATCTGATAACGGGATTAAGATTCGATAGTACTAAGTAAATAATAATACGAAGTCGATCTCGCCCTTTTCATCTACAATTCTATACAATTGATGTAAATTACAGAAACATAATTCGAATGATTGGGATATCTAGCTTGCGCGATGTCTCTTTCCGATCAGAGACATAAGATCAGTATAACATTATTAAGTGCGCGTAAACGCGGTAGAAATTGTCGCGTCCTCATGTCTATCCTCGCGAGCAAATCAAATGGTCGACATGAATTGGCTGATCACATATACTGATAGTTAAAAACATTTTTAACTAAAAAAACAAATCGAAAAATCTTGATACACGCCCCTATAATGCCGATACACGCCCCTATAATGCCGATACAAGTGTTCTCGCTTAACAATAGTTACATCATGTGCAACATGAAATAATGTTATAGGTGTGCTCCTTCTAATTGTACCCTCTTGTCTACTCGAGGTGGGAGCGAAGGATGACAGCGAGCTGAAGGAAAGAACATCGCAAAGAAGTTGGAAAAGAGAGCGTGTCTAAAAGGAGCAGACCTAATTGTGCCATTTCTCTGGCCGTCTCTTAAAGCTAATACATTACTGCAACGACGTTAAAAGCTATGCACGACAGGCGACGCGCCTTCGAGCACATCCTACATGCCAATCGCGACACACTCATATGTAAATTTCGATGAGGTCGTATCAACGTCAGAGTTAAGAGAATTTAAAAGGGTTCTAAGATCATCCGATTGCATCGACTAGCTTTGACTGATTGACAATCTTCTCCTTTTTCTTGTTATATTAAGAACTATATTATAAATACGTAGAGATAAATCGTTCAATCCGCTCCACTGTCGACGTATTCGGTCTTGGAATCTATAAAAAGCGATCGAGGAGGGAAGAAATCGGAAAACTGGAAAAAAGAATGTAGAATCTCTCTCAAGCATTCTATGGCAAGAGAGAGAGAGAGAGAGAGAGATGAACGTGTCCACTTTGTTTAAACAATCTTCAGATGTAACACGCTAATGCCATTACCCACTGATATTGATTAAACCTTAATTTAAGTTCAAATTCCCTTCAAACAAAAACTTAGATCCAGGTTTAAACTCAACATTGGTAAAATGGACATAAATCGCGAAACTTCTCTTGAGTGTTTTTGTCAAATGTACTCCTCGACCGTCAAATTAACCGTTTTATGACGATCTCATGTCAACTCACAATACGCAGTAGCGTATCTCGACAAACACGTTCTCGAGAACAGACAATGATAACGATAACGCCAATGACGAGAAAATACAGAGTCGATCGTCCCTGTCGCAATCCTGCGGCGCGTCGCTCTTTGAAGATTCGCGTAAGGTACGTCCCTTCCATTCTATATCTGTACAAGATGATCTCGCATGGAGACCGGGCAGCATGTCTTGATCCGCCTCCATTGCTAGAATGACGCGCTTGAGCCCGTATTATCCACGTCCCGCTCAGTCTCGCCGTCGCCAAGTGAACTTCGCCCGTTGAGTTGTCACTTCTGTAGTAAGCGGCAGCGTATGCGACGTCGCTGGATGGGAGTACGGACACGCCGGTTTCGTGCAAAATGGATGGTACTTGCACTGCTGAGTGGGATGGGAGAACACGCAGCCCAGTTTGGTGCACGACAGGCCGAACTTGCACTTTGGATGCCTATAGGCACATTTGTCCCCAAATTTGCACGCCGGGAAGGCACTGTATCAGAGAAAAAAGAAGAAATTAGTTATCAAGCGAAGAAGCAGAAAAGTGCCAATTAATTCAAGTCAATACAATTATTCTCACGTTGATCTTGACACGTTGACAATAACAACAGGGAACTTTACTCTCAATGTCATTTAAAGACAGTGTTATTTTAGTGTTATTTTATTATATTAATTAACATACTTATTATTCAGCGAAGTTTATTTATTCCCGCAAAAAGAATGCGAGTTAACTCCTAGTTGAGACATATAGAATAGAGAATTCTTACCACATGCTAATTACGAGATTATTTGTATTTGACAGTCAACGTGTTAACAGTCACCTACCCGTAGGCAGTCCAAAAGCAATAAAAAAAATACATATATTGCAAACACAGTAAAAAGTAGGTGTGTGTATACATAAACATTACATCACCTGCACATAACAGGCGGGTGAAGATACGCGCATTTGTTTCCTAACGTACAATTTGGCCAGTATCTACAGTTCTCTCTGGACTTGTCTATGGTGGCAGGAACAGTACTTTCTGCCAGCAGCCTTTTATCTGTAGCTGAAAGTTACAACATAACATTATCGTCTCTCCATTAAACGTTTGCACTTGTACAGCACTGGTTCGAAGGCCAATAAGAACTTCACGAAACAATTCGATACGTACACTTGGTCGGTAACGTCGGTAATGACGTGCTAGATTTCAGTCGCGTGGGACTTGGGGAATGAGAACGGTTGTACACTATCGGGCTCAGTTTTCTCCGCTTTCGCGGCACCTCGTCCATCTTGTCGACGTTCTCCGTGTTGCAGTTCTCGTTGTTCTCCTCGCTCGCCTCCTTCGGACTATCGTCGTCCACATCGTCCTCCGTCCCGTCCATTATCCGGAACACACCGCTCTCTAACTCGCTCTGTGCCGGCGTGTATGTCTCGTTGTGCGTCGTCAATAGCGCGAGCTCGTCGTCTTCGTTCACCTGCGAGTATGTGGCACATCGTGCGTTTAGAATGCGTGGGAGGATTAAACCTGGAAGACTGGAACGAGGAAATTTCACGCGTATGAGATAAGATAGGGCGTAGCACCCGCGCAGCATGAAGCGGAGAACGCACTGCTTTTTTAAATTATGTTATCCCATCAATTAGTTGCCCGTTAGTTTTCCACTGATCAAGTCTAAAGAAATTGTAACGTTAGGTTTCAACCAACAAAGTGAACGAAAATTGAACGAACATTTTACAAGATAACTAAGCAAAACGTCAATTCTTCTCATCTTGTCCCCAATCTCTAAATAAGTTGACAAACTTGTTCCGATTTTCTAGAGTAAACATTCTAGTCGCTTTACAATCAGCAGAAGTTACCTCCATCTCCAACCGTTCCTCATCGTCTTCCGAACCGAGCTTTTCCTTCATAAGATTGTTGTTGTATCCATTTAGGGTGACTAAGAATTTCTGGTTGTCGTCACTCCTTTGGAATAACGACATCACAACACCCATGTGCTCGTCCATTACCGCTTGAGGTACATCTGCGGATTGTGCGACAGTGAGTGTGTATCACGAAACCCGAAGCTATCTGAATTTTACTTGTCTATCTTCAATTTTCTGGCTTCGACTGTGTTCTTTAAGATAATTATAGGAAATCGTTTTAATAGATTTAATAGAAGAGAGTAATATGTAGAGTTCTACTAATTATATTAATTTCCCCCGACAAAAAGCTGCGAAAACTGGAGGTGAAGAAGATTTGATGTCTTTCAACATGGATAAAACGTATGTTTTTGTAGACAGGCAGAACTTACAAGGTGCAGGTTCAGCATCCTCCGTATCAAGATTATTCGACGTGTTTAATTCGATTTGTATCTTCTCCATAACCAGTCTTTTAGTCGAATTCAGATGCACTGATAAGTTTTGGCTCACATCGCGAGTTGAGGCGGGTTTTAGACGTTTTAACACCGGCTTCTTATCCTACAAAAATTGAAACTTTAATCGAACATTTCCAACACTTCTATTTATGTGCATATTTAAGGTAAACGTCCTAGTGATTGAACGTATATTAAATTATTAATACTTATGTTTATTTGTATACTTATGTATACTTGTATACTTATGTATACTTATGCTTACTTGTATACTTATGTATACTTGTGTTTATTAAGATGCTTATCAATAAATGAAACAAAATCACAAAGTAACTAAATATTTCTTTTCATTTATTATATTGTTTTGTATATTGAAAAGCATTTCAACAAAGAAAAATACAAAACCAATCATTGGGACATGTATGTTCGACCACTGGGACGTTTATCTTATAGAGGAAGTTTCGCAACCACGGCATACCACGCTAGTAAAAATATTACACAGTGGTAGCGAAACTTGTATCATGCAGAAGCTCGTCATTATTTTCTCTATCGATAATCGCAACAATCTGTACAATTAAGGCCGGTTTTTCAATAGCAGTTTAAATTTGGATTCAAGTTTAAACTCTATTCTAACAATGCGTTTGTTTTATTTAAACAGAGTTTATGTTGAAATCTAAGTTTAAACTATCATTGAAAAATCGGCCCTTAAACTTTAAGATCTTGTTCACTGATATATTAGATTGATGCAAAAAGTTTGACGTGCTTATCAAATAAAATAAAAGATATATAGTAAAATTATCCAATTTTGAAAGATTAATAATTTTTACAAATAAAATAAACAAAACATTTGTATCTTTTTAGACATTTAGATAACAAGAAGCTTATTTATGTTTTCTGTGTGTGTGTGTGTGTGTATTTGCCTATAATATATCCTATAAGTTAATTTACACAAATTCATCTATTTTCTTTTTAATATCTGAACTTTTGAGATAATTAATGGAAAAATGACAAATCTTTTGCATCAACCTAATTAACCTAATAACTTTCAACACTTATTTATCGATAACTTTTATTTATCAATTTATCCATCGAGCAATAAACATTGGTGAGACGCACCAATAGAGACGGCTCCGGATTCTTCTGCGTAACGACCGATTGGTTCGCCTCCGCGACTGCTCTCAGTAAGAGCGACTGTGTGGCGCGCTTCTGAGTCGGTTGCAGCGGCTTCAGAGGTCTAGGCGTGACAATCACTTTGCTCGGTAGCCGAGTATCGTCCACATCCTCGTCCACGTCACTGAACGCCCCTCGCCTGTCCGTCTTATCCATCTGTGACTTCGTGCTGTGGCTGAGATATCCGGAGTGTTGTATCGCGTTGAACGGAATCTCCTTTGGACGCTTCCTGTCAACTTTCCCCGAGGCAGCAGGTCTGTTCACGGCGACTATGTGCGACTTCACGGGACCCGTGTTCTTCGCAGACTGGTCATCGTTGTCCAGCTCCTCCTGTTCTTCTTCGGCGCCCAGATTCAGACAGTCGTCGTCCTCGCTGCTACGTGACTGCCTCGCGCCAGCCTTGCGCACCGGCCGAAAGTTTCTCAATGGACCCAGCCGGTTTTTGATGTTTTTAGCGACGCTTGAGCCGTCGCGCGGTTGTTCCATGTTGCTCTTCTGGTTCCTGCTCCAGTCCGCGGCTTCTTGCGACTTCACGGACTTAGTAACATTCGAGACTCCCAGGCGATCCTTGATAGTGCACGCCGTTTTCTTCGCAACGTCCGCGCTCTTCGAACTCAGATTGATCCTTTCCCGCGACTCCTGCGCGTTCCTCCCCAATTTCTCGTTTTTACTGCTCTCTATCTTACTCCTCACATCATTGATCTTGTTCGCTTCGTGATGACGCGAGTCGCTGGCGCCGCTGCCACTGTCGCGGCTCCGCCTGGAACGCTCGTCTCCTTCAAAGTTTCTATTCCGTTGGAAACCGCCGCGGCCGTTGTCGCCGTAGCGGTGCTTATCGAATCGCTTGTCCGACTGACGATAACGGCCGTTGCCCTCAGCTGCCGTTGGTTTCTCACGGTAGACCTCAAATTTCTTTCTCGGTGACGCTATGCCGAGCCGGTTTTTCACTGACACAACCGACGTGATTTTTGGCCTGTTTACGCAAGATTTGAGTTTCTTCGTGGCCTCCGACGGCGTCGCAGAGTTTTCTTCTTCCTCTTTGGATGAACGAGGTCGCTTCACCTCCTGCTCCTTCTTGTCCGCACCGTCATGATGACCGCTCGACGTTTCTGGCAATCGCTTCAAGCTCTTCCCCGGTGCTTCGGCGCTGGCTCTTTGATCGCGGTGTAAATCCACAGTCTTCGTGGTGGGACTCTCCAACATAGTTGGTTCTTTTAACGTCACGCTCTCGTCGCGCACAGAACTTTGCGGTTTCTTCACGGTAAGAGCCTCCTGGTGGCTGACGACGTCCGTCGACGTTTCGTCTGGCTTGCCTTTGCTATATATATTCTTTGCACTCTTTTCCGCGGTTTTGTAACTCTGTTCTGAATTTTGATTCGGCACAGAAAGTTTTGCGGCCTGCTGTTGCTGTTGCTGTTGCTTTTGCACCGACTTGTCGTCCCTCGTGACCTTACTCGTCGACTTTTCGGGCTGCTCCGCTGCCTGATCCTCCAGAAATGACGTCGCCGATATCTTCCGTTTCTTCCGTTCCTCCTCCTGCTTCACTACTACAGTGGGAACAAACTCGCGGGACGACTTCTTTTTTGCTACTGTGACTTTCTGCAGCTTCTTCAATACTTGGTCGTGCAGCCAGTCCACGAACACGGTCGTGCAGTCCTCCAGGAAAAGATTCAAATCGTCGTGCATCTGCTGTCGGGACTTCTTGTTCACCACCATCACCAGTATGTAGTCTGGTAGCTCTTCATCATAACGCACTCCTAACTCCATCAGCTTGGCACGAATGGCACTCTGAAAGATTGACTTTATTTAGTAAAAAGCCATACATTACATATCATACGTTACAGATCATATATCTCCATCATAATTTCTTAATATTTAAGTTTATTCATCAGGAATGCATTTTCAGGGCGAATCAAGGGAGCTACTTACAAATTCACTATATATTGAACAAAATTAGATTTTTAGATTAATTTCAAAATTAGATTTATAACAAAATTAGATTTTAGATTAATTTCACTGTCTAAAAAAATAAGTACTAATTTTTTAAACTAATTCCATGCTATTATTTTATCACATTCAGTATAATGTTACTCAAAGCATAAATCAGCAGTTTTCTGGACTATAATCGGATATTACACATAAAAACAATGTAATGAATGATATTCTTTCTTTTATATATACTATGTTTCCTAATATAACACTTATAATAGTAAGTTCTTTATTTAGATAGCATCATTTTTTACAAAATTACATTGGTTATCTATATTGCTTCTATCATAAAGTTACATGTGCAAAGTTAAATTTCTCATGAACAGTGCAGACAAATCTCATTAAATTTAAATTACAAATGTATTTCCTAGTGATAAATGTTATGTTAAATTTTTGTCTAATTTTAAACATTTTTTTATTTAGGTAAATAAACTCCTTAAGATCCAAGTTTTTTAATTAAACATCCTGCTCAAAGCAATTAGGAGATTATTTCTTTAGATATTTATTTCATCTGGTAAATTTATTTAAAATATCAAATTATTTAACCTTTTCTATTATTTAACTCTTAATTATTAGTTTTTTCTTTTTAATATTACATGTATTTGCATTTTAGCTATTCGTTCTTTTATCTAGTTCAAGTGTTAGACTATTCGATTAGATAATTCATTTAAAATATCTTCTAATTGCAACACAAAATGATATATCACAGATATTTATACTTTGAAATTGTGTTATTAGCAATTCTTGTAGAAACTTCTCTGCAATGCTGAAAAATTTATGAATCAATGGAATATTCTATACACAAGGTCATTTCAGTTAATTACAAATTCTTCCAGTAAGTATATAATTATAAGCTCGTATAGTACATAATTTGCTCAATGTACAGCAGGAGAAATATTCTATCTGGTTCTGCATGAATATCTCATATTATCCATCTTTTATTGATATCTGGATTTTAATATTTATAGAAAATAAGATACCGATAATTTCTGTCTAAACTGTCTAAACTATTACATGCATATAAAGAGTAATGTTAAATAAATAAATATATTTTAGAACTCATGAATGTTCTTTATAGGTGCAATGAAGTACAAAAAATAAGAAATCCTTATTCTGGACTGTCTTTTATTGATAAAAGTGTCTCTAAATGTGACTTATAAACCTTTTGATTAGCTCTTAGTCATACTTAAAGGCACTTTTATTGACAAAGGGCAGTTCAGAATAAGTAAACGTGTTGCATCCGAAATTGACATATACTCCTGTAACGTGACAACGATAACCGCAATATCAACGTATAAGTAGGAGTATAATAAGTTGCACACGCAAACCAGATCGTACATTACTGTACCAATGGATTACGAGAATCTCTCGTGCTGTTTATCGGGACACGCGTGCTTCGAACGACACTCACACGTAGCTGATTCGTGACCTCGATGCCGCGCATATCCATGACTACTGGGTGATCGGCGACCTGGATGATGTCAAACAGGAAGATCAGCGTCGTTTAAGCGAACGACCGGCCGAGTCGATACACCGATGTGGTCGCACACTATAGGTCTGTTTTTTATCACTAAACCAGCGTACACTTACAAAAACTTAAAAAAAATATAAATACACAATTGAGACTTAATGGAAGAAAGAGAAGAGAACTAGCGCAAGTTAGTGCAGCCAGTTTAGTAATAGAAACAAACCTTATATCATGGATTGAAAACAACATTCTCCGCCATGATGAACCGGAGTGCCTTTTCTGCGGTGTATGGATAAGAGTAGAGTCCGTTCGACACTACAAATATTACGAAGCGTCACATAAGGCAATACGATTGGTCTGTCCGTTGTCTTGAAACACTTGCAGCACTAAACGGACTTTACATTAACATCCGCGCGCGAACAAAACTAGACTTTTAAATCAGCAAAGTTAAAAGATTTTGCTTTTTTCTTGAACGTGGAATAAGGGCCTTTGCACGTAGAAAAATTTTAACCGTAACGGTAAGATTGTAAGAAAACTGACCAATCACAGTCGATTATTCCTCGAACGCAAGGAGAATAATCAACTCTGATTGGTCAGTTTTCTTATGATCTTATGGTTACGGTTAAAATTTTTCTACGTGCAAAGGCCCTATCTCGGACTGCATGCTAGTTTGTTTGCTAGATGGAAATACTCTGTTCTGATTGGTGTATTTCTGAAGATGAATGAAAATGCACCAATTAAAATTAGCCTAAAGCTCGTATTAGACTACGGATTAAGATTGAGATTGAATTGAAATTTAGCCAATCAGAACAAAATTCACCAAGCTCAAGTTTGGTGAACTTTGCTCTGATTGGCCAATTTTCAATTCAATATCAATCTTAATCTGTAGTCTGATACGGGCTGCAGACTGCGTTCCGGAATTCAGTGTCAGTACTGAAAAGCTATAGTTCATGTTACGTATACTATAGAATTTCAACACTGGCAGTAAATTTCGGAACGCAGCCAAACTATATGTGTCGTACGATAAGTATTATCAGACGTGTCGATTGGCTGTTGGATAAAATTCTCCTAAAGTCCTTAAATTTTTTTTCCAAGTAATCCCTTGTTCACAACCTTGCTTTAATTCCTAAGAAAATGACCAACCACAATTGATTATTTTTAAAATAATCGACTATGGTTGGTCAATTTATTACGATTTAAAGATTAAAGCAAGATTGTAGACAAGGAGTAAACCTGCGCAGTAAAACTTACATATACGCAACTATTTAAAAATAAGACTAAAGTCCCATAGCATGTATTTTCCGCATACGCGTAAGCGCGTAACCAATAAATTGCAACGTTTAGTATTTCTGTTGGAACTTCTAAAAGAATAGAAAGATGTGATTGGTCATGCGGTTACGCGTTACGCGAAAATACGTGCCATGAGATTCCACCCTAAGGGCCTTGTTCTTTTTAGCTGGGTCCTTATTCTTGAAATAGTTGCGTAAACGTAAGTTTTATTGCGCAGATTTAATCATACTATAAAATAGTTGTGCAATGAAAATTATGTATACGCAAAAATTTCAAGAATAGGGACCTGAACTGCCTGCATTGGTGCAAACCAGTGGTCTGTTCTTTTCAGCTGTCTACTAAACTGGTGCAATAAGTTAAAGTGAGACAAATATATATTTTCTCACTCTACTTGTTATACCAGTTCAGCAGGCAGCTGAAATATATTTGTCTCACTCTAACTTATTGCATCAGTATACGATTCAACGTCAGGTTAGATGACCTTTCGTGTCTAGAGTCCAAAATAAGAAAACATCATTTTGATGCAGGTACTTGTTCATAAGGATATTGCTGTCATAATATTCATTTCGCGTTTAATATATTTACTACTTTCCAACAATATAATATGTATTCAAAATTTCCAAAGTATGAAATTACTTGAAAGTTTTTAACACCACCACCAGTCCAATTAATCATTAGTTTGTTTATCTTTAGCTTTGCTAATCAGTTTTATCAGGAGATAAAACTGATTGTTCATCCGCTATTTGCCGCAATTAGCAGGGCTAATATCGACCATCTATGTGAGAATTATTCTGTTGGGCGTCACCGTATATTTGCATTCGAACTGGACGGCGAATTTCTCGCGCACGTAAGTCAAAAACTGGCTTCCTCCAACCTAATCAGCTTCGGTTTCAATATATAATTGATTTATCGACTAATGTGCTTCTATACGAACAATTTCAGAGTAACATCGCGTAAGAAAAATGGTGAAAATAGCGCTGCAGATTACTTGTAGACTTGACAACGTCGAGGAGCTGAAGCCGGCTGGCCCGGAATTCAGGTGGTACCTGAAGTTCACTTGCTCCAACTGCGGTGAGATATCGGAGAAGTGGAACTACATTTCCTTGGACGAGTCCACCCCCTTGCAACGAGGCAATGGTGTCAATCACTTCGTGAGCAAGTGCAAACTCTGCATCAGGGAGAACTCCATGTCGATAATGGAGGATACTATCAAATCTTTCACTTCTGATGATCAGGGGAAGTTCAAGGCCATTGTGACGTTTGACTGTCGAGGAATTGAACCATCCGACTTCTCCGCGAGGGAGGGGTGGACTGCCAAGGCTACAGAGGGCGGCAAAGAGTTCAGTGACGTAGACTTAAGCGAGGGCGAATGGGAGGACTACTGTGATAAGACTATGCAGCCTGTTGGAATATATGAGATCAAACATAGGTTTGAGAGAATCAAGTAGTGACACTTTGAGTGCATTCACGCAGTATAATGCGCATTTTGTTTGTCAATTCTGCAACGATGACTGACTCATGACCATTATTTCTTTTGATTGAGAAAGCTGTCGTCAGCAGTTCACCATCCTATATGTGAGGTTTCTAAAGTCTATACAACTTTCATATTTACTCTTGTTTGTTTTCTACTTTGTTTGTACCTTTTGCAATTGCTATGGATGATTTTGGCATAGCAATTTGATATTTTCTTCATATTTAAATGTAAGTGTACAACTAAATATGTATACTTGTTTGTGAAGTGTGAGCAATTGAACATGCTTATATGTAAACAACTATAGTTTATTATATATATATATATATATATATATATATATATATATATATATTTATATATATATATAATGAGAAAATTATTGTTTTATAATAAAGATATAGACTTTTCCTAAAACAAATTATTCCCACTTGAATAGAGTGACTCATTGTCATGATATGTATGTAGAGATAGAGACATCATCTCGTTGTTGCATTTATTTACTAAGATTCTGCAACAATTATTTTTTTGAGTCTACAGGAGTCATAGCGGAAATCTCACACGAAAAGCCGCCAGATAGGCAAAAGCATTCGACATCTGACCAAAATACATAGGAAATCACCTTGTATTTGATCAGAAAAAGTGATATTTGATCAGAAGAAATGCACGCAGGATGCTACAATTTTTTTTTAAAGAATGTCGAAATAAAAATTATCGGCAAAGTGGAGAAACCTACATTACCGACGATAAACAATTCATTCATTAATAATCATTTTAAATTTTCTAAGTCGAGATTCGAACCACAAGTGTTTGTAGTAAAGACGATATTTTCGTTAAAAGAATTTACCTGAATTCTACCTGAATAGAATGATCCGTCGTGATGTATACAGAAGAAGATGAAGGAACATCTCATCGAGATAGAAATACTATCGGTTGAAGTAGGGAGAAAGTAACTAAAACCAATCCAACGACATAATATAATTTATTCATAATCATATAAAAAAACCATTTTATTTCGTAAATGGCTCCGTACACAAGAGATATCGTTTTGCGATAACAATAATTCCGCTTCTCCTCCAAGCATGTTCGGAGTTGGCGATTTAATTTATATACCCTGCGTAAATAACCGAGTGACTAGTGTCGCTTTGCGGGGCAAGGGCATGCTGAAATCGTGCCGACGATTTCACCAACGACCGAATGACCGTGGGATCAATCCAGACAACTGCTCTACTTCCAACGCACCGAAAAACCTAAATCGCACTCTCCTGGAATGTGTCGATGCAATCGCGCAAAAGAAACGAACGAAAAAAGAAAAAAAATAAAAGATTCATTGAAACTAGCACTACGTTATAAATTCGCCTTACGATTACAAAACTAAAATATTTCACGGGTAGGGGCGGGATTAAAAATTATATTATATACAATATCTCAAGTATAAAACTCTCGGGGAACAACGACAGCACACTTAACGACAGTTGTAGTTCCGCATACCGCCGAAAACTTTTGATCACGATCAAAGTAATCCTCGCAGTCCGTCTCCACGATAAGCTAAAAAAGAAAATCACGATTTTTTTTCTCGAGAGATAAACAGACGACAGAGAGACGTGTGTACGAAAAGCATGGACAAAACGTCGACTCGAACGAACGAAAAGAAATGGAAAAACATAATTTCGATTTTACTCGACAACTGCCTAATGCACTAACTCTACTGCCGCTATATTTTCGCCTAATGCTTTCATTTACTATGCTTCCTAATATCTAACACAAATAAATATATCGTGTGTGCGTATTACAATCCGCCCTTCTCGAAGAATCTCTTCTCCTTTTTTCCTTCTCTTTTGTTTTTAACATATAAATCACATGTAAGTAAGTAACCACTAAAGATCTTTTTTTTTCCCTTTAATCTAACAATTGATAACGCTATCAGTCTATTCTCACAAAAATATCACTATGACCGAAAGTATCATATCGATGATAACCAGAGTCAGAAATATCACGAGCCGATAAATTTGACGAATAAAAGTAATTAGATAAATAAACGCAATTAGATAAAAATTTGCTATATTTTCAAACAAATGTATCTTCTTTGTTGGAAAAAAAGATCAACCGTACATATTCCAATCGATTGAGAAAAAAATAAACTTCACTTGACAGAGAGAGGAGGAAGATAAGATACGCGAACACGTACAAACACGTTGCGAATATTGGAATGAAGTACTTGACTCTGGCTCATGCATGGAAGATTTGTAATCCGCTTGACATAACTCGAACAATTATTCTACTAGCAAATCGAGGCTCTAGAAACGCCCTAAACGTGATCCTCTAATATTACGAATATGTATCGGTGTGTATTTTTTTTCTTTTTTTGATCGGTTAAACAACGGCTCTAATCTACCATCTAACTAAGCTACCGTCTCTTTGGTATACTAATCCGGAGGGTACTTAGTCTATCAGAGACAGAGGTGACGAGGAAGATCGTTCACCGGGGGATCTCGCTTCCGAGGGCTACGAATATTCGCGTAGAAATAGGAACATTATGAGTAATATGTGTAAGCTGGCTGATTTCCACGGTATCCATTGTCTTTCATCTCGCGAACGAACGAGGAGCGATCACGAGGAGTGAGCAGTCCTCGTTTCGCGCGCTTAAAAAATAATTCGGCAAGAACTCGCTCAAAGACTGATATTGTTAAAACAGATGACGTTTACAGATGCTGCTCTGGATTGGACGCAGGAGACGACAAAAAACAAGAATTTGAAAGGAAAGTGGAAAAAGAGGAAGGAAGTGAAGGTATGGCTTCTTGAAATGGAGAAGAGTCCATTTCGCGATTGCCTCTTTCGTATAATAACGTCCAATCCGCGAGTGAAAGGTACATGCGCCACATACTACGTTATACTTTGCTTGACAGATCAAATTGGGGAAATCGAAAGCGTCTAGGAAGAACCGCGCTGACTCGTGTTCTGATCTCGAACGCGTTAGATTTTCTCATTTACTTCGTATTGACATTTACTTCATTTGTGCTCACATATGTACGTACGCATCATTTGCGTGCATATGTGTGACAATCTTTGAGCCTCAATCTTCGTTCTTATGAAATATATTATAAAAATTAGTTATACAATATATATTCATCGTAAACGCGATTAAATGTACATCTTGCTTAGGGTGCTTACAAATGGGAATTCAGCTTCTCTTCATGAGACTCAAACAGTCAACAGATTACGCGAATTCGAGTCAGTTAACGTCGAGGAGCAGTGCTATCCTTCTCCGGTCGCTTCGATCGAGACTGGGCCGTATTCATTGGGCACATATTGTTTGACTTCTTTCCTAATATCTAAGTCGATTACATATGTTTGGTATCACCTACCCACTACGTGTAGGCTAAACGTGATCCTCTACTTTCGTTAGATGGATACGCTAAGTACTACGTTTGTTTTGATACTGACACAATACTCGTTCGCGTGTGCTTTTGGCGAATTTTCTCTCGCTCTTTTACTATATTTTCTTGTTTCTTAGAGCTATATACTAAAGAGACACCCGTGAATAGGCCCGTTAGATGTTCAAGTCTAAGTCTAGTCCAAGCTCCGTCCCGGAACGCTAACGGGAAGGATCGTTGGAAATTCTAGTTTCGAATTAAAGCGCCCTACTTCTTTCTTTCTTCTTTCCCCTTCGCGTAACTATCGTGAATTTCGTAACAATATATGCTAATGCGATCGATATTACACATTGCCCTATTTACTTGAAAAAATGTTAATTATTATTAATTAGTCTCTTAATATAGCGACAATAATATATTAAGTATCATTACAGTATATTACTCGGTGATGTTAACTATATAATAATTTCGCGTTAGCGTGTTCCGGGACGTGTCCAACGATTCGCGGGAGTCTCCCGTTTATCATCGTTCCGGAGGGAAGTTTCGGAGCGAGCGCTGCTGCGATGACGACAACGACGGATCGAGCGTCGAGAATCAAGCTGGCGAGAACTAATTACCTAACAACAACCGGAAGTCGGTCTGCCCGTACAAAATTGCAAATTAATCAACGAAAAATGAAGAAACGATTCGTGAGAAACGTTACTATCGCGTGAAACAAACAACAGAGCGGAGAACAATGCCCAGTGAGAATACACGACACTCTCTCTCTATTTCGATTCTCTTTAAATTGCCCTTTCTTCACTTTCTTTTATCTCTCTCCATATAGACGGACAGAAAAATAGAAATTTGACGTGCGCGCTGGCGCTCAGCCGACCCCGGCATCGTCAAGTCCGAGGATCATGTCGGAAGTAGCCGACGCGCACAGATAGAACGACATCGGCGTTTGATCAATACTCCCGACAACGTGTGGCGGCCCGACCAATCCCGCGTTTTCGCCAAGAACAGGACTCGCGTTCGATCCTGTGCTCGACGAGCGAAGGCGGGGGTGAGCGGAGTGGCGTCGCAGAAATTCGTCAGTCGCGGTCGCGCGGCGCGGTACGCCGGACCGGTCGCTTCAAGGTAACTCGTCACTCAGTACCGGCTCTAGGCAGGTCTGTTTCAGAGTGGCCGACTGATCCTCGAGACTGCGCTTCAGGCCCTCTATCGTTTGCATCAGCATTTGTCGTCGTAGTTGCGACAATTGATGCTGGAAGAACTGCGAGTCCTGAGCGTTGTTCACGTTTGCCTCGGCCGCCAGTCGCTCTTGCCGCAGTTGCGCCACCTTCTCCTTCAAGGACCTCCTCGAGTCGTCTGCGAAATAATACATGTCAATGGATAGTCCGTACTTGTAATGGATCGATTAAAGCTTGCGTTATGGGCGTGGACCACCGCGCTTGGAACCTGAGCTTGGAATGGGACAATGAAATGTGACTTATAAATAAAAGAGGACGATATATTAGGTTGGTGCAAAAAGTTGGTCGAGTAAAATCGGAAACGAAATTATACAATTATACAATTTTACAGGATAATTGTTGGGAATAAAATAAATAACATCTCGACTATTTTATTAGATATCTAATGAGGACTTCCTATTTTCCTTATAATACCCAAACTTCTTGCAAGAACTTAATAAGAAATTGATAAATTTTTTGCATCAATAATATGGAATTTATCGTTTCGTCTGTAAGACGCTAAGTTAATCAAAATCTCATATCATGAAGTGAGATCTGCGAAATTAAAATTGATAATATAACAGCTGATAAAAATGGAAGCACCTGTTCAATGTTCTAAAAATATAATTACTAGTACGTGGTCATAGAATCATGTATCACTGTTGTTAATGAGGATAGGAAGTTTTTTGAATGTTGCAGAAAAGAAAAGAATAAAACTACTCACCAGTATCATCGGTTGCTGTATCGCCGTCGGAGTTCCTCAGCATAACGTGCTCGCCCAAAGTCTTTTGTATTCTGCCATACGTCGTGCTTCCGGCGTACACTTTTCTTTTCACCGGCTCACTTTGTGGACAATAAGAAGAGCCTTCTTTAATGGGACCCATATCAACTGATCTACAAAGACACGTGTTCTGTCACGAACGCTCAACAAACTGCATACATTCGCTATTAACATCAAATAAATATCGTATTTCATCGCGATATTATTTGCTAGTAATATCGAACACCATTTTTATGTCTTCATCAAACTCTTGCATTCTTATATTTGCTCTCAGTTGCTGAAGATAAGAGAACGTTAAGTATTTTAATTATTTACTTTCAGAAGATCATATGATTATAGAAAATACAAAAGATCGTGACGAAATTTTATAAAACCTAAAAATTATATCCACTTTTTTCTTATATTCTGTACAAAAAATAGGTAAATCCATTTATTACGTACTAATTCAAATTATCACGAGTTAAAAAAGTTAATATATAAAAACGCAGGACAACCCTTAATTTAATAGTAATTCCATGATAAAATAAAAATCTTTTCCGGATAAATTTTTCAAAATATAAACTTTTTTAATTTTACTATAAATAAACAGATTATCTCATCTTAATTCCTCTCTTACCGAGCTATTATTTTCAAGACATACCCACTCGAGACGTTATATATCAGACAACTACTAACCTGAAAGTCATCAAAGGGGCTCTTCGCCTCACGTCGCACTTCTCCTCGGAGTCTGACGAGCTGGACGTCACTCCTTCCTCTTTGGTCGGTGCTCTGGCGGCGCGAAAATCCTTCCTGCTAGCGGCAAGAGAACCCTGCGACATCACGGTGTGCGTCTTGCTGCCGAGGGAGTTTTTCGCGTCCACTGTTGCCTCCGATCTCAGTCCACCGTTGCAGTTCAAAGCAACCCGAGTCCTGTTGCATTCCTTGGCTTCTGAATCAGCGTCAGTGTTGCGCGCTCGATGTACTTGGTGATGCATCAGACTTCTACTGGGCGAGCCCTGAGGTGTCCGACGCGACACGACCGGTGAGTCCGGACACTTTGACAGTTCCTGTCGGTAGACTGGCGGCTCTTTCGGCGGGAAACCTACTCCAGCTGGAGAATTTCTCTCCATGAACCGATGGATTGGGGAGCAAGGCTGAGGAAATTGTCGCTTGGGACTGGTATGCTCTAGATCCCGGATGCTGCCGCTCTGTAACTCCGGCTGGGAGTTGCGGCTTTTGGACAGCGCCAGTTCGATGTTCAGTTCGGTGTTCTTGATCAGCTCAACCCGCTTGTTCGCAAGGCCGTTGTGCAGCTTCCGCGACGGCGACGGTACGCAGGGCGACGGGTTCTGGTACTTCTGCATACTCACCAGGATGTTTTCCGCCTCGAGGATAAGCTCGCGGTACTTGCGGTCGGCCTCCTTATCCGCCTCGATCAGCGCGATCTCCGAGGCGAACGTGGTCATGTACGTGTTGCCGGCTACGTGGCGTCTTACGAGATTGCCGTTCACGTAACTCACCTGAAACAAAAAGACATTAATTTTATGGCGGTCTAGGAGCTTGTGATAATAAGAATAAGCAAAGAGACTCACTCATCAACACGCTGAATATCGTAATTGGTCATCGATGATAATCGCAATGATGATACTATCGCATCATTAAGTTACGTATAAAATAGAACTGATTACATTTAAAAACTCGGTTACACAGCTAATAGAAAACCAACGAAACGAGATGAAAAGACACATGCGTCTTGAGTTCCATTTGAAGTAATGTTTCCTTGGTAATTCAGTGTTAAGCTTTTACACAAATCAATAATTACTAGCATAAATCAACGCGGTGATGTCAATGCATGAAGAAAAGTTTAAAAAATAAAAAAATTTGGAGAAATAAAATAATTGAAAAATATGCAATATTGGTTGAATTTGAGTTCTCACCGAGTTCGATCGTCTCTTCACGACTTCATTCTCCATCACGGCGGGTCTGATGACCGACGAGTTGCCGTTCAGTCTCATCGGCGAGAGATTCTTGTTGACGTCGTGTTTCTTACGTCGTAGGCACATCGGTGTGCCGCCCACGCTCCTGCTACCCTGATTGAAGCCCGAGTTTTTTAGCAGCATCCTCTCGACCAGCACACGGTTCAAATTCGCCGTCTCGTCGTCACACTTGTCGAAGTTCGCCTTGCGACGCTGCGATATCCTCTTCTTGCGTTTCTCGCTCTGCTTGCTGTCATCCGTCTTCTTGTGCCGTGTGCTTTGCCTCTTCGCGCTGTTCCTCGCGCTTGCGCTTCTGTTCCAGATAATATAGCAATAGTAACAAGAAACGTAAACTGAATATCGTCGAAGGTAGAGGAGATAGACTACGAGGAGCTGCAAAATCGGGGAAATCGACGGTACCGGAATGATTACGCGAAGCTTACCTCTGAGAAATCAGATCGTCCTTAGTCCTACGTTTCAGGAAAGAGTCGCGAAGCCTGGTGCCGCGCCGACTGAGCTCACTGGTGAACGCGAAGTAGGTACAATGGCCCGTATTGGGGAAGTGTCCGCCGCACTCGAGACTGTTCAGATCGAGGAAGGAGCCGTTGTCGATGTAATCGAGCTCGTCGTTCTCGAACGGGTCGTTCTCGTCGCCGCCGTCCTGGCCAGTGTCGATGTCCGACAACGAGTCTATGTAGTCCTCGCAGTCAGTTGGATCGCTGTCCGACAGGATGTCCGTCTCCTTCTCGTACACGTAGCTCTCGTCGAACTTACCCATCATCTCGTTGAGCGTGATGTCGTCCTCGGACGAGCGCACGCTGCGCGTCACCGAGGAAACCGAGGAGCTGCTGCTACTAGCGCGCCGTTGCAGCGCCAGAGGGATCTTCGGCCGGAGATCCATGCCCGAGGTGATCCTCCAGTTTTGGTTGATTCTACGCGAGATACTGAACTCGTGAAACTGATCGATGTTGCCGGGCGTGTAAGTACTACGGTTGAAGGACGAATTAAAACAAGATTTACTCACAAAAATAAACCGAACTTTTTACTTAAAGCAATTAAAGAGAGATTTACCTTTTCTCTTATTATTTAATCCTTAATGTTATAATCCTTTGGATTATAAAATCGAATGTATAAAGTCATCTATAAGGGAACAAAGTTGAATATTGCCATTCCAGTGTTCATAAATTTCATTTTACCCCATTAATTGTGAATATATAAAATTAATTTATCTCGTCAGTTACAGCATACTAAATGAAATTGTTGACGCGTCACTATCGATTTAATAATATGTGCAGGTAATTCACACGAATCAGGTGATGTTCGTCTCGATAGGCTGGACGGATGTGTGTGATACGTATAATCAGATTATAAGCGAGTGTAAATTACAAACATACGTCATATAAATTATAAACGTGATCGGTATAAAGCACGTGCGCGCAATTGACGCGATAATATCATGTTCGTAATCGCGTTACGAAAGAAATTAGGCCGGCGTCAGGCGCGATCCGCGACTCGGGTTAATTGCGAATTAAAAGTTGAATTCGACGTACATTCGTACGTGCGTCGGGCGAAGGATCATTCTCGTAATTGCGCGGCGGATCACCGGCCAATAAAGCAGTTCTCGAGAGTCTTTCCTGTTTCAGGAACTTTCCTAACCATCGACTTTTCCTTCAAGTGTGTCGAACTCCCCGCCACCTCGGCCGGTTCGCCGAAGAGGACTGGAAAGCCGATGAATTTGAGAAAAGGAAGACACTTCACGAAAGGATACATCTTCCTCCGCCAACCAGTAACTTATACAATTAAAAGTTTCTCCCGTAAAAAATTGGATCGCTGCCGAGGGACATAACACAGCTATAAAAATACGTCGCGACTCTCTTATTGTATCTTCTTTATTCCGTGCATTGCAGTTATTCGAACGACCGCCCTGTCCGCTTGCACATTCATATCGAACATTCAGAAAGAGAACAGTTTTTCCTCAGAGATTCTACTATCTACTCTCCAAAATATATCTTCTCCTTCTCACGGGAAATGGTGATTGCTGAAATTAGTTTCCTTTCGATCCATATGCGCTTAAGCTAATTCGTACCTTTCTACTTTCATTTTCATTAATTGAGAGTAATATTTTACTAGAATTAATCTTACTGTAATTCTTACATTGACCATTTCTCTTTCGAACAGCAATGAAAATTAATCCTTTAAATGGTATGTGCTCGGATGAGTTTCGTGATAAAATATTAAATTGCTTTTGATCTACTTAAGAGAGAGCTTTTCTTAACTCACAGCGAATACAAATAAAGACTCAATATACGTCATATTCTATTCTTCAACATTCTTGAAAGAAAATAGCAATAAAGGGAAGAGGTATTTAGATATGCTTATTAAACGAAAAGACTGCTCTAGGAAGAATGCGCAGTTATTATGAATTCCCACTGAAGAGATTAATTTCCGCATTGCACTGAAAATTAATTTTCAAATTTCAAGGGAAATTAATTATCGCATTTCCGGAATTCCCCGAGAGAGAGAGAAATCTCGGTCCCCGATATATAACCGTGCTTTGTATAGATCGCTCTACAAGTTGGAAATCAGTACTCACGGGCTTCGACCTGCGCTCAGGCTCTCCTGACGATGCTCCCTCCTGCCGTGGAGCTCCCTGCCGTTCATGTTCAGGTTGACGTCGCTGGCGCTTCCGGATGACTCCGTGAGCTTCAGGCCACCGGAGCTGCTGCTGCTCTCATCCAAGGCGAGCCGCGACTTCAGGCCGTTTGTGCTGGAGCCGGAGGAGTTCGCCGACAACCACGGGTTCGTCCGGATACGGGATCGCTCGCGGGGCGATTGCACCGGAGGCGAGACCAACGGCGGCGGTATCGACGACGGCACGGGCAGGCTGTTCCTCGACGAATCGGCGGAATAGGACTCCGTCCTGCGATGTGAGTTCTCTTGCTGCCTCGACTGTTGCTGTTGCTGCTGCGGTTGCTGTTGATGCTGCTGTCTCGGAGCATGATTCGTTTCTGCGCTCTGTGGATTCAATGTGAGGCAGACATTTAGAAAGCGACGGAAAGAAGGAAGACGAGCAGCACGCTCCGACGAAAGTGCCCATCATCGTTGATCACGATTCACTAAATATCGTGCCGCTGACCGCAGTAAATCGGCATTACTCGGAAAAGAGACGGTAGATTAATACAATTGCGATTAAAGTTAATTTTTTTAGTTAGATATGTTTAATTTTATCTTATTTGATTCAAACATTGTCGCTCTTGTTGAAAAATAAATCCATTAAAATCAGAAGAAAATTATTTAATTTTAAAGAGTGACATAAATATCATACCTATCAAGCACGTGATATGATTTCTCTTTCTCTTGTGGAATTTTGTGATGAATGTTTACTCATAATAATGTTTACTATATATTGTTGCATGTAGAAGAGATTGATTGATTGGTTGAATTAACTGAATGCATTTTGATTGAAGGGAACAGAAATTTCTAGTTTTTTTTAACAAAACAAACATTCATCATAAAATTCTACAAGAGAAATCTCGTTACATGATAGATGTCATGATTTGTCACTTGACAGATGTCATTCCCGCCTCTCTTTTTCACGCCACAGAAAGCCTAAAATATCAAATAGTTTCCTTCAGTTCTGAATAAATTTCTTCCCAAAGAGTTTTATCAATCATGATCAAATCGGCCAGCTGTGTTCCATTTAACGTGATAATGCATGTTTTGCAGTAAATGATTTCGAATAGGCAAAGAATAAGCAACTGTGGCTGATCAATAAAGTGTGCGCGCGACTGTAGTTAATGTCGCTCGCAGCCGTCACAGAAAGCCTAAAAAATGTAATCCACCTCGCGCTTCGAATCGAAGGGCATATCTCGAAAACACGATTATCCGTCTCGCATGCGCTAACCCCGTGTTAACTCCCGAGTTAATTCGTCTTTATTCCTGTGGAAAGCATCCGGAAATTTTCTCCCACGTTCCTTTATTGGAAGGAGAGAGCGCGTCTCCGCTCGAAAATTCATTCAACCGCCTTTTTAAAGAACCCTTTGTATTTGTCACCCTGTTTCTCTCCCCTCCCCCATGTATTTTCGGGCTTTATCGTCAATCTAAATCGCAAACTCGATCGTTTCTCTCCATTGTACCGAGACGAGGGTCCCCGACGACGTTGCGCGCGATCGATCACCGCCTAGAGGAGGAAGGATTCATTTTTCACTGCTGCCGCCCATTAAGGCCCGATATCCGGGTGCACGTACCACGACAATAATGCATCTTTCCCTTTTTCTTCGGTCGTCCTCGAGTCGTGAGACTTTCGCGAAGAGAAAGAGGAGAGAACACAGAGGAGAAATGAACGACGCAGAGCTCGCAGAGGGACAGGACGCGAGCTACCAGCGGAGTAAATGCTGTCCGGAATTTCCGCCGGCTCAGCGCCCGAGCATCGCATATTTTTCGGAAAAGCACAACAATGCGCGCTGTAACAAACGTTCCTCCGTGACGAGCAGCGTCACACGCGTCATGAGAGGGATGGATACCGCGGGCTTCTACCATCGTTTCTCGGCTGAGCTTGCGGGATTCACTATCGAAGAGAGAGATTCATGAACCGCACGCGTTTCTCCTTTGATATGTATCCCCTCCCTCTCCTTCGCGTTGCTCGTATGTACACGGAGGTAGAGATGTATGTATAATATGTATACGAGCGACGATAAACGCTGCTCCGGAATGTATACTTCCTGCTAGACGAAAGAGGCCGGGTGTCGTTGAACTCGTGCGCCTTCAAAGACCCGACGGCGAACAAACGCACCCCGAGAAGAAGACTCTGTGCGCGCGCGGGGGTGTGTTTGAGCGAGAAACGACCACGGTAATCTCGCGCATTTACTTTTTGGTCTATAAACTATTTGAGGGCGAAAAGCTGAAAAGAAAGGCGCGACGAGGCGCGTTTGACGGTGGGCGCCAAAGTCAGTAGTGGCCGCCTCTCGCTCCTCTGTGAATATATTATATCGCAGCATCTCACAAAAAAATCCGCGTCTCTATTCAGCGCCGGTTTGAGACAAGTTTCTAATTAGGGCCCCGCCGGGAGAAGCCGCTCGTGAGACGCACGGAGTTGGCGATTCCTAACGATTTCGCGTACTCGCTCGTCACTGTCATAATGTCGCCGTGGCTTGTGCGTCGACAAATAAAATAAACCGCACGAGAGCACCGCGTAAGATTTATACATGATGCTTGAATTCAAATGTCCACAGTGACAATCTCGTCACTGTTACGACAGACGAGACGAAGAAAGAAGTTTGAGCGATTCGATCACGAATGAAAGAGGTTGCATGTCGCTCGTAAGAGCGTGTTTGCCGTGCTTTAATCGATCTCCCAAACGGACGATGAGAGAGCGCCATACATGCGTGCCAAAGAGATTGCTTTTAGTTCCATGTCGCTACGTCGACTAATTAGCGAATTACAGCTATTTAAAGCCATGGTATCAGGTGTCGGCTCGATCTTCGCGCTATTAGGGCTCCATTGCTCTTTCTTCAACACACTATGTTTCATGCTATGCTCTTCTAATGAAGTGAACGACCACGTGGCCGAAGCGGCTATGCTTATGCGAGTCGTGGAGTGGGAACAGCGAGCCGCGCTGCACGTGATATCGCCAGCAACCACGTGCTTTGATCAGCAATGGTGCCATAGAGCGCGGACCAACACAAACATCAATGACTTCATTTATAGGTGTCGTAACGACTTGAAACAAAAACCATTAGAAAAGGGAAATCACGATGCCTTTAATATACATAAAATCGTCTTTCTGACGGATAAGGATCAAGCATAATCATACAAGTACGAAATACATAGGTTTTCGTGTTTGCATTGAAATGAATATTAATTTGTGTTAAACAACGAGAGGTCTTGGTCTAAGTCTACGATCCGAAGCGTCAGTTCTACGTTTTACACTTACCTTATGAGGAGTGCTCGTCCGTACTTCCGGCTGACCGTTGTCCCTGGTCATGTTCGTCGTGCTCGCGGACTGCGCCCTGTCGTCGACTCTTCCATTTCCCGGCGCGGCGCTCGACGGGTTCGCAACGTCGCCCGACACCCTCTTCGGCCTCGCTTTGCCGCCGCCGACGCCGCCGCCGCCGCCGCTGTTGTTATTATTGTTGTTGTTATTGTTGTTACTACCACTGCCGCCGCCGCCGCTACTCTGGAAGTAGTGTGTGCCGGTTCTGATGTTGATATAATACTCTGGCGGAAAGCTGGTGCCGGGTGAGGTGCCGTCGGTCGAGTAGCCGGTCGAGTACGCACTCTCTGGTGAGGAGAGGCTCACGCTTCCGGTACCGCCGGATGTGCCGGATGACGTGGTCACCGTCGCGCCGTAGTTGCCCCCGTGCAACCGAATACCGTCCACGTTCTTCGACGGCGAGTCCACCGGGTGCACCTGCGGATAAGGTGATGTGTCGAGACTTGTCTGAATTGCAGAAAAAACAACTTCGCACTTGAGATACCCGTTTTCTCTTCTAACCAATAAAGTTCCTATTATTGCTTCCCTTTTAATTAATAGATTAACCTTTCTTTAAACACGGTCGGAATTCAATTTGTCTTAAGTTTGATATAAACGGGCTAACTGACGGAAAGGCTGATCGATTTTAAAACAATTCTTCGTAATAAATATTAATACTTGCCCCACAAAGTGGCGGCTATTCTATATTTAAAAGACGATTAACAATTTAAGAAAGTTAGAATCACGACGGGGAATCAAGACGGAAGAAAGTTATCTTGATAAAAATGATCTTAATAGTTATAAAGAATTCATTGGACAGTTCATCGGATCTTTACGTGCCGATTATTCGAAGTTCTCTCGCGTATCTCTCGCGTATTCGTATCGTATCGCGAAGTTCTCTACGATAATTCAGAGGATACGCGACGATGCGTTTGCGATTTATGCAAGCGGCGGGATTAGTGTAACGCGAGTTCATGAATTCAGTGCTCGGTCACGGCAAGGTGGACGTCGGACGGATAACTGCATGAAAGCCCGAAGACTGGCGCGACCTCGCAATCTGCAACGGATGGCGCGAGAGAGAGAGAGAGAGAACGAGGGTGAGCCGCCCGCCGGTGTGTCGGGAAAAGAATACTAAACCCTTTTTCCAGCCACCTTAACGATAACCGTCGACGTGCCCCGCCTGGTTCCTACTGGGCTCGGAAAGCGCCGACGTAAGGGTCTGTTAGCGGAGAAACGGACGGGCGTAACGAGCAAACGCCGGGCAAGTAGTAGGAAAATAGGGGAAGCACTTCGCGAACTAGTTTGCCGATAATGACGATGAATCCGGCGAACGTGCGCCTTTCTAAACTGATAGAGAGAGAAAGAGAGAGAGAGAGAGATATACACTCCGGCATTGCGTCACGACGAGCGATCGCGAGTGGAGCAATCAGCGCCACATCGACGCAAAACGATGCTGCACACCGTACAAAAAATTGTTCAAGCGTCCCCGTCGAGCGCGAGGACGAACACTCGCGATACCTCCGCGAATCACGACGGGAAATTACATCTTGTCGATAAATTGCAATTTAACTTCGACGTTATTTGTGCCGAGTATCGCGAACGCTACATAAGCTATGAACTTATTACATTTGAGAAAATTGTAAAGGCATACAAGAGTCGTGTGTTAGTATTGGATTCTCGAATAGATTTTCAGGCCGTAATATATTAGATTTTTATCTAATTTCCATTTGTGAAAGAATAAAATATATTCAAAAATTTGTGTCAGATAATATGTAAAATATCGAATAAAAATCTTAGGGAAAAACAAATCGCGACATACGGCAATAACTTTAGGACAATTAGCAAATTTTATTTTTTTAGCAGACTTATACCCATTTCTACCAACTTTGGTTAACTTAACTGGCTGGTTATTCCAACAGAATTGACCAATTGCACCTGTCAATTCTGCTTAATGAAAAATGTGATTGATCAATTCTGTTAGAATAACCAACCGGTTAAGTTGACCAAAGTTGGTAGAAATGAGCATTAGCGATTTTAATTAGCAGACTCAAGTTTAACGTTTGAATTAACTCGTTAAATGACAGGAAAAATTTGGTAACATTCACTCAATTTGGCAATGATTCACTTTACATGCGCTCGACAAAACGTCGAGAAATTGCGATTGACTCACTCACCTGGTGCAAAGCGGGCGATCTGTTGGCGCTGTGGCTCCTGGGGGAGTTGCAGTTCGAGTCGAATCCCTTGTCGCCTTTCTTCCGGTCCTTCTTCTTTTTCGATCGCACGATGTGTGCCTCCATCCACGTGCGCAATTTCGTCCCGAACATGTTGCACACGAGTCGGCTAACGGAGCGGCGCCTCGTCGAAAATGCCCAAGTGGATAGAGGACCCCTCACGATTATCGCTCGTGTAACCGGTTAGGATCGCGTTCAATCGCGCACACGTCTACTTGAGCGGTCCATTTCTCAGTGAAACAGAACTTCTGCAGCAAAAGTGACTTGTTCACGAATGATCGGATAGAAATCGCGCGTTACAAAAGAAATCGCACAGAAATCGCAAAAGTAACGAAAAAGATTTAAGGGAATATTAAAAAATTTCCTAGACTCCATGACTCAATTGTTCCCGAAAAAAATTATTCACACCGTAAAATATTAGAGTCTAAAATACCACACAGAAAAATATTCTACTACTGAGAAAAGTAATTACTTAGCTTGCTGTCCTTCTCGTTTAAGTAACGGTTATCTTGAACAAGGAATCTTCTTGATAGAGTAACAAGAATATCTTCCTGATAGTCTTAAAATATATTCATTACAAATTTCAAAGAAGCTCATTATTATGAGCTCATTATTATGAGTTCAAAAGAAAAATATAATTTTTTTAAGAAAAATATAAATTTTCTTTGCAACAGAATATTGCAAGTATATCGTAAAACTTATAAAAAAAGTTGGTTTGATTCTATGTAGTAAGCAAATTTTAATTTAATATTTTTGATTGTGAAATATTAAACTTGCTAAGATTCAGAAATTTGATATAAATTTGATGTTTATGGTAAATTTATGATAGACATGGGAAGATACATGAACTTATAAAATATTTTAAAGTCAAAATTTTAATCCTACTTTCAAATATTTTCATTATTCCACTTAACGACTACTTTCAAACTTACATCAACTTCCTTTGATTGCATTTAACCTACTTTGACGAGAGGTTCTTTTTAAAATCTACAAATGAAATTTTATGCGTCTTCCGCTATTCAGAGATATTCAGTAGAACTTCAATTTTCATGTGTGTTAAACACACACTGATCCTTCAGAATATACAGACGTTAGAAAGATCGAATGTGGGGCTGACATTTTGATTCGGGAAATAACATTTACTTGAATACAGTATGCATTTTTCTGCGTGCACGGTTAGCTGTGTGAAAAGTTTCACGTGGAACGTAATACCAATTAATTTCAAACTTATGAGACGCGTTACGTTCGAGATAATCTAATAACTTCAGTTATCTCGCATGGATCCGATTCCGCTTCGCGATACAATTGTGCTCGGCGACGTCGTCGTCGTCGCGGATATTCGACTTAATCATTTATACGCGACGGATGATCGCGATCGTCGCTCGGTGTCGGGTTCGCTGGCTCTCTCGGATTACCTCGTAGATCACTGTGCGCCACGTCGGGACGATCCAGGACGATTATTACAGCCTCGCGTTACACCGGCTATTTACACAGGGCCCGTTCTTGCTCTCTTTCTCTCTGCTCTCGTCGTCGCTTTTACGGCTCGCCCCTTCGCGCCGGGATCATCAATAATAGCCCCTCAGCCACGTACGAGCTGCACCTCGCATTAACATACTAAGTGGTCGTGGCCGCTTTTACGCCATTCTTCGCGGCCCTAACGTGGACGACAAGCGACGCGATGAGCCACCCCGTGTCGCCGTTCCCCGATCGCGAGAGACGGTAAATCTGTAACAGAAGATGCGCATGCACACATAAACACACGTAACACACCCACACACGGCTTTCTGTAAATCTTTGTATTTATCGCGGAAGGTGGATTTACGCGATGGAGAAGTCTCGCGATCAATCTTGCTCTAAATGTTGAGTTATGAAGCTACCCAAGGAAAGGACGGAATTTTCACTATGCGCGTAAGAAAGAGAGAGAGAGAGAGAGAAAGACCCTACAATTTTATAATGTATTTATGATGAATCTTTTTACTTCACTAAATTGAATACTTTAAATTGAAAAGCTTTTAACCTAGGTTATTCCTCAAACAAAACTCCGAAATCAATTTCGGAGTCTGTAAATCTCGGAAATTTCTGTAAGCAAAGTTTTCTTCATTAGATCTGATTCGAGTTAAACGAGACACTGGGTTCCTCGATTATGCTTATTACGACCAGAAGGGGAGGCGCGCTAAATTTAATTAGGGATCGACCATCAGACCCGAGTACTTTAATAGACTGGATAATTAATGTCTCACGTGTGCGTTCGCGTAGAAAATGCATCTACTTTCGATTTTATTCAAAGTCCTTAACAACAGAATCTGCTTCGCAACAGAATCTCCGCGAGGCGAATATTATAAAAGTTCCGCATAATTATATAATACATATTATATAAATGTATTAAACCAGATCCTTATATCATAGTGTAATTACGCAAAATTTCATTCTGTGTATGTTCGTCAATTTATTATATACTGAGGAGAAAATATTTAAGAAATAAATATTTATTCAGTGGATACTAATAACATATTTACTTATACTAATATCAAATATTGCTCAAATAAGGAAAAATATACTTCTTTTTAAAACCTTAATTCTTCATTAAGCAATTGTTTATCTTATTTAAATGAAAAAGGTTATATTTAAGTAAATATATCATTAATATTCACTAGATATTCACTGAATATTTATTGAATATTTTTTTAGATATTTTTTCTCTCAGTATACTACTATTTAGTTAAAATAACAGAAAAATATAGCTAGCGTCGAAAATGACAATGATTTTAGTGACGTTAAGCATTTTTTGTTTCAGAATACAAAAGAGTAAATACATTTATGTAATTCTGTACATTTATGTAATAAATGCAGGACAAAGTTTCACATGTAACATGTTTCAATGTAGTAGATATTTAGAACGAAGAAAATAAGAACATATAAGAATATATATAAAGGACAAGATAGTATCTGTCAAGAAAAATCAAACAATACATTTTAACGAAGAATCCCGACAACTCGATCTCTTCGCAGAAAGGTTGAAGTTTCTAGATGAGTCCTGTCTATACAGTCTTCACTGCACAAGTTATTATTCAGTTCCTATGCTTTCAAGATTCGGCTCTCACAGCCGTTTGCATTTACAGGATTCAATTACGGCGAGCAACTCGTCGCCTCTGTTTACGCCTTCGACGCGAGCAGAGGCGAACGCGAATTTGCATAAACGCGCTCCGAAACTGAAGTTTCGGGCGCGATTTCGGAAACTTGCGACGTAACACGCGAGCGATCACTTTATGGAGAAGCGAGTGGATGCTGTCGCCAACTTTTAAGAGGCATCGTCGAGAAGGCATTACTTCGAGCTCCGACGCGGAGTTTTAATCAGGGCTTTCCGTCGCCGGCGCGAGAGCACTCGAGACAGTCAAACATTATTAATCCAAGTAGAAAAATTTCCAGCAAAAACTGGCCACTAGCCAGAAACTGAGCAGTTTTTAATGATCAGGATTTATTAAACAGTAACTGTTCACAGACGCCCCATCCTTTCTCTCTGAATTTCTTCCCCCTGACACTTTGTGATAACCCGTGCAATCGGATACTTTCGGTAGGTTAAAAATAAAGCTACAACCTTCTCAATAATGAGTAAATTTGCGTGAAAAGACTACCTTCTCAAACACAGGTTTCACATTATTTTCATATCGAATAATGCAATATATTATTTTGCAATGTAAGATCAAACGATGAAAACTATTCCCCAAAATTTCGTACAAAAAAAAAGTTTGGTTGACTGGTTGGAAACTGACCAAAAACTGACTAATTTTACCGCCCAATTTAAGTGTCGCCTAAACTGGCTGGAAACTAGCCAGTAACTAAACTTCCTAGTCAATTACTAGCTAAAAAGAGGTTGCTCTCTTTATCTGAAGAATGCATTTTTGAGCGGATCTCGAACTTGGTTAAGTCGTCGTGCGCGAGAAGAGCCGAACGTAACAATCTAATCGCGTTATGTGCGGCATTAAATTGCGGTGCAAATAAAGCCACATGCCGCTGGCAGATTCCGCGAGGCGTTAAATGTGCGTCGCGGTCTTACAGTCGCAAATGCTTCTGCTCCGGACTTTCGACTTCCAACTTAAAACTACGGCTCGCGATAATCCGCAGACCTTTTCCTTTGCTCGCGCGCTTCTCTGCCGTCATGATGGCCTCTCTCGCTGAAATATCATTAATGTTTCAGCACCGCTTTCGTACGTCGCCGATCCCATCTCCGTCCTCCTCTCTTCTTCCACTCTCTTGTAATTTCTGCATTCTATTTTTACATTTCCGCCTTCGCGCGCTACGAAACTCGCGGGACACGTTTTATCGCTTCTGCTCTCCTTTATCTATACTAATGTCGTTTACAGAGAGGAGGAAACGCGACTTGCCTTTTCTTCTACGTTATTTCTCGTGCTTCCTCTCCCTCCCAATGCGCAACCGCATTTCTTATGTGCCGCCGTTTCTCACAAAATCTACAAACCGCGACTTTATATTATTCTTTACACATTTTTTATTCACCTCCATCGTCCGCAGGACAGCTGTGATTTCTGCTCCGGTGAGAAATCATCTCACGTACCGCGCGCGCGCGCTCCGTCCGTTATGTGCAAGCCCCACAGTGCTCGCTAACTCCCATCGCAATGCATATTTACTCGGCAAGACGGGCTCCTAGATCTAGCCGTGCTTATCAATCTTCAAGGAGGGACCGAGGGCTTTCCGCGAAATAAATATTTCGTCGGCTACGCCCGCGTCGTCATCGTCGCCGTCGCCGCCGCCGATTGAATCGTCCTTCTCCTCTTCCTCCTCTTCGGAGACTCAGGACGCCCCTACGTGAGCGGAAACCGGAAGACGAAGAGACGCGAATCGAACGCGGGGAATTTCTCGCGACGGGGTCGTGACTGACGACGACGTCGTGACTGGAGAGTGAATTCACGGCGGAATGGGAGACGGGGAGGAAGAGTCGTGAGCTTTTTGCTCGGGAAACCGCAATGACCAAAGCTCGAGAGCGCAAAGCGTACCAGCGAATCGACCGAGAATCGATTGGGAATGCTCTTGCGCAATTAAAATCGCCGGATTTCACGGAGATTGAAGCAGTTCTCCGTTCGAGACGAGCTCGGCGAAGGAAGTGCCCAGATAGACGTATATTTGGCAGTAACTTTAACAATAATAACTACATGGCGACAATATTGTAGCAGAAATTACGTTAAAATTATACTTCTCTCTACAATGTTTTCTATAAAGCAGGACTATACTGAAATTATTGTACAAATGGCTATAGAAATAACAAATTTGCGATCTATGCGGAGAAAATATTATAGCATCCTTTTTACATATAAATATAAGTATAAACTCTTTTATATAAATATAAATTATATTTTATATAAATATAAATTCTTTTCATTTTACTATATTTGTAGTAGTCCAGGAGTAGACTGTCAGTAAAGTTATTTAAGATATATAAACAAAAAATATGCAGATTATATCTTATTTTGCGCGTGTGCCGCAAAGATAAAACAAATCAAATAGATCGACGAGGTACGATTTAAAAGACGATCTCGACGACTCTCCCCTATATCGAGGGAGGCTTCGGGGATGGGGGCGGGGAGGTCCCTGTTTTTCTCCAGTTTGAAAATTGCCGCAAGCCAATCTCACCGCGGTCGGGATCTCTTAATCCGCGCGCGACACCCGGCGTCGCGATGCTCGTTAAGATGCCTCCTCTTGAGCCGGTCGCGATGATGCGATTGCGTAAGTTATAATAACGCGGTTAAGTTTGTCGTCCTCGCTGTTGTTGAGTTGGCTTGAGCCGAGTCGAACCCCCCGGATTTCATTTCCATAATGTTTCGACGAAATTTAAGGACACTCGAAGGGGCATGCGAGGAGCAACCCCCTCGCGCTCGGCAGAAGGATCCTCGTTAGTTCCAGGACCGCGTGCTCTTACTTCCTTCTTCTCCCTCTTCGCTTCCTCGTCCCTGCGCTTGTATCGACTTTGCGGAACAAAGCGGTCTGCTTTGAACCACCTGCATGTATTCATGAAGTTTGCACGGCTCGATAATTACGGAGTGAATCGAGAGCTCTCTCGCTCTCTCGCGGCTGCTCGATCAGGGCGCTCCCTAATTACCCCTTTGAAGCGGTTTTTTCTGAAGATGCTCGACGAGCATGATTTTTGCCGGCCACGGTGCTCCGTTGATCGACAGTTCTGTGGCTTCACGAGCATGAACGTGGAATAAACACATATCTATGTGTGTAGAGACGGAGGAAGTCGCTCGCTTTATATCGATCGTAATGTAATAATGTCCGCGACAATGGCAACGTGCAGATATAATTTTGCGGCGGCAACAATGTGTACAATATCATTTTATATCAATAATAGCCAGTACTAATAAAAACAAAATTGATCCCTATAAATTTTAATACGTTGCGCGCTTTTCACTTCCCCCGTCATGGTTATAAATTCATTTCTCTGCTCTCGTCGTGACGGAATTGTATTGGTTGATTAACCTTTCGCTCTTTCTCGCTAACGTCACACACGACGTCGGCGCATATCGGGGATGCTTAATTTATTCGGTTGGAATCGATAGCGTAACGTTCAGTCCCGTAAATCTCGCGGGTTTCTATTTCCTCTTCATGAACGGTCAAACGGCGTGGCGAGACTACTGTCGCTGAGGGATGAACTAAAATTGATAAAATTGAGCAACATATATGAAACTATATGTGTGTATATATACAAATATATT